TATAATCTTGGTAGTTCGCGGAACGGTGAGTAGAGTATTTCACGCATGTTTTCTATTCTGAGTGACTCACGCAGAATCTGCAGCATTCACGCAAATGAATTCAATGGAAGGGCAGGGGGCAAGGAATCACGTGGATCACTCAAGTGATCCTAGTGATTTACGTAAAAGTAAGTGGAGTTCTTCACACAGTGTTTGTATAGATAAGAGTGATGCGCACAAAATGTTTAAGATTCTCAGTGTTTCACACAATATCCGCGACAATCACGTATATGAATGGAATAGAACAGGGCTTCTTCACGCAAGCGATGCGGAACTCACGTAGGTAATATACACTAGGATTTCTCATTTTATGAAGATTTTTGAATTTCGCTTTTCCTAAATCTGCATCTGATAGTTCATCAAAAAAGAACGAGATGAGAATTTTTTCCGAGTTTTAAAAACGTTCTGTGAGGTCCCGCAAGCAATTGCAAGTATTACAAAATTATCTGACCTACTGACAGTTTAGAGTCGTAATGTTTGGTGAAAAGTCAAATGGCTTTATAACGGTCGTTTGTCAGGTAACAAAGTCGTCGGGCCCGGGCAGTGGCCATTTTCCAGGTAATACACTACAGGTCTGCCTTCGCCCATTCAGTTTACTGAATTTCCTCCTCTCTCTCTTTCTCGAACGTTAGGCATTTTCTTCTAGCATTCGAATATTTCACGTAAATTTAATATTTTTCTCTATTTTTCTTTCGACTCTAATATGACACTTTTTAGGGGCAATATTATTTAACATGGGAAAAAATAGTTCATCTGTTGGAAATAATTTGTTTTTGTCACAAATTTTGGCAATCATGTTGTTTTGAACCTACTATAATTTTTTAGACACTTCAATTGACATAGTCATTTTTTGTTCAATTTTTCCGGTCAGCCAGTCAATGGCAATTAAAGAAAAACGACGCGCGGCGGCGTTTCCCTCATGAGGTGACCAATCGAGGGTTAAGGATCTGTCGTGGAAGTGAAGCACTTATGCACGCCGGGAATGCTCGTCGGCGTGATTATTGTAAAACTGCTTGGACATAGAGAACATTTTCTTGAATAAAAATACTCGTCCATTTGAGATGGATCATATCAGTTTCTTAATATTTCCCTCTATTTCCTATAATTAACGGGGTAATTACGGTTGAATGTTGAATGAGAGTCGTCTAAACATTTCGTCTCAAGTATAGTTTTTAAGGGAACATTTCCACAAATCTGTCGAAACGATTTTACAATACGATGCCTCCAAAATATTGAGGAAATTTTTTTGGGAATGGCAAGGCAATAACTGCATGTCATTTACTTCAGCGTTACACTGACGTACATTACCTGAAGAGCCTTAATCCCTAACTTGAGAGCAATTTATCATCAGAAAAGGCAAATTTTCGGCTCGTTCCTCGTATTTTTCAAACGGGGGCGGGAGGGAGGGCTTTAAATACTATGTCTTTAATGTAATAAGACAGGCCTTGACAATGTTCTTGCCTAGACTGGAAATCAGTTGAAGAAAGAGTTCCGAACAGTCGACATCAAAAAAATTGCTACGTTAATATTCTCTCTGCAGTGATCAGTGACAGAAAATACTTACCGATATGCCGGAAACACGACAGATCACCGATATCCCATTAGTGGGTAATGCATGTCCGGAGATTTGTGGGAACCAATTGCCGTCCAACAAACAAGTTCTTCAGTGTTATTTTTATTATAAGAAACATGCTGTACCAAATCTGATGAAACGCAAAGCTGCCATGTGTGTTATTCGAAAGTGTGCTGTGTTTTAGGAATTCGCAGGGATCCCAATCGTTAAAGAGTGCAATGCAATTGATAAATTAGAAAAACTAATCAACGAATACCAAAATGTCTTCAGATATAGCAGCTCTCGAAAGGATGCATATCCAGGAGCCACAAAATGGGAAATTGAAATGGAGTGTAAGCTTGAAGAGTTATTCGATATTGCTCATCAAAAACAAGTAGACGCTATGAGAAGTGAGAAGGGTCAAGCAGCCAAGATTTTGTCATGTCTACATCGAGAGATGGGGCAAAAGGTCGCTTGGATACAATCATCGACACAGGAACATGGGTCGTTCGTAACAATAAAGAAGAGGAAATCAAGGAAGTAAAACAAGGTATGATAAGCAAATTAAATTAATAAATTTTCCTAAAATAATTTTAAAAAGGAAGAGCGTTTTTTCTCCTCTATATGCAGAACACATACAGTTATAGGCAATTTAACAATGGGATTTCAAAATTTATCGATCCAAAGGATTCGAACCTCGCGCTAATTTGATGCTAACCTCGTACCATTATTTATTATAAACAAATTTCGCGTTTTTTTCCCGTGAAACTAATTTTTTCTCACTCAATGACAAAATTTTTTACAGAATGCTTTTCTCTCGTTTTTCTGGTCAATTAAAAATCTGAATTTTGATAAACTATTGGGTCTAGGACATAGTCTTAAGCGGCCAATGTCTTAAAGTTTTTGATTTTTCATTTATTTCAGTTTTCGTTAAACTTCAATTGGAAAAAATATATTTTTTTTTATTTTCTCTCTCCCCCTCTTTTTTAAACAACAATGAAGGAATAAGGAAAATAGAAAAATAGGAGGGGGAAAAAACACCGAAAGAACTCCTTCTGTATTCTTTTTTCATTTAATTTCTATCTTTTTTTTTGTATTTCAAGAGAGATCAAAAATACAAAAATGGGATAGAAGAGAGACTCTTTTTGTATCCTTTTTACATTCCATATTTGTCGTTTTTATTTGGAACGAAGGAGAGAAAAAAATGATAAAAATAGGATATACAGGGGATATATATGTGAAGACATAGAAAGGGGAGGAAAAAAATACATAAAGAACTTTTTTCGTTACGAAAATGAGGAATAAGAAAAATACAAAAATGGGATGGGGAAAAGACAGAGAGAACTCCTTGTGTATCCCTTGTGTATCCCTACACATTCTCCCTGAGGGGGGAAAAATATCTCGGGAACCCGTAGGTTTAACGAAAAATTTCAATAGACATTTCTTTTGGAGAATTTCAAGGGCTACATAAAAGATCTTTTGACATTTTTCTCTAAATTCATTAGTTTTCGAGATAACTCATCAATAAACAATGAATGAGTGCCACGTAATTAAAGTTCTTCCTTGGAATGAATTTGGAACAGATTTTCGATTATTTCATGAATATCTCGAGAAATAATAACTTTAGAAAAACTTGTCAATAGACGTTGTTTGAAATTCAGCTATTCAAACTAGTCAAACGGTCACCGGGCTCAACGAAAATCTCGAGAAACTTCGGGACCCTTCGGGGTCACATTCAGCTACGAAGAAAATCCCCGAAAAAGTCAGTAGTATCGCTCTAGCCACCGAGAGAGTCACTCTAATCACAGTACTATATCGCCGTAACCGCTCAATCGAGTACATCACCGGAGTACATCAACGCGATACATTTGAGTCTAGCGCTTTGTATAGCGTCTCTATTTAATTCAATTCAATTATCAATTAATTCCGAGTTAACTATCAATTATTTTGAGTCAATCATCAAGTTCAATATCGAGAGAATCTCAAGTGCAGTGCATTTTTCAAACCATCATTTTTATTGACTTTGTCGAGCAACTCAATAGTGTAACATTATTAATTTATCAAGACGCGTGGGTTATTCCACAATAAAGTACATCAACAGTGTGGTTTTATAATTCCGCGTGTTTTAATTTTCCACCTCCTTTCACAATCCCACTTTTCCCCAACCGGCATCTCAATTTAGCTTCAATCTCAAACAGACGTTTTTGATAGAGAATTTAATTTCCTGGAAAAAAGTACTTTTGATATTTTTTACTAAACCCACTAGTTTCAGAGATATTCTCAAAAAATCCCAAAGAAATTTATTGGAATCAGAGCAAGTGTTACGTGGCACTCATTCATTGTTTATTGATGAGTTATCTCGAAAACTAATGGATTTAGGGAAAAATGTGAAAAGATATTGCGTGAGATTGAAGCTAAATTGAGATGCCGGTTGGGAAAAAAGTGGAATTGTGGAAGGAGGTAGAAAATTAAAACACGCGGAATTATAAAACCACACTGTTGATGTACTTTATTGTGGAATAACCCACGCGTCTTAATAAATTAATATTATTACACTGTTGAGTTGCTCGACAAGTCAATAACAATAATTGTTTGAAAAATGCACTGCACTTGAGATTCTCTCGATATTGAACTTGATGATTGACTCAAAATAATTGATAGTTAACTCGGAATTAATTGATAATTGAATTGAATTAAATAGAGACGCTATACAAAGCGCNCTCATTCATTGTTTATTGATGAGTTATCTCGAAAACTAATGGATTTAGGGAAAAATGTGAAAAGATATTGCGTGAGATTGAAGCTAAATTGAGATGCCGGTTGGGAAAAAAGTGGAATTGTGGAAGGAGGTAGAAAATTAAAACACGCGGAATTATAAAACCACACTGTTGATGTACTTTATTGTGGAATAACCCACGCGTCTTAATAAATTAATATTATTACACTGTTGAGTTGCTCGACAAGTCAATAACAATAATTGTTTGAAAAATGCACTGCACTTGAGATTCTCTCGATATTGAACTTGATGATTGACTCAAATAATTGATAATTAACTCGGAGTGAATTGATAATTGAATTGAGTTAAATAGAGACGCTGTACGAAGGGCTAGACTTAAATATATCGCGTCGATGTACTCCGGTGATGTACTCGATAGAGCGGTTATGGGAATAAAATATTCCGATTAGAGTGACTCTCTTGGTGGCTAGAACGATACTACTTCTTTTTCGGCGATTTTCTTCGTAGCTGACCGTGATCCCGACGGGTCCCGAAGTTTCTCGAGAATTTCGTTGAGCCCGGTGACCGTTTGACTAGTTTGAATCGCTGAATTTCAAACATCCCGGGGGCCATTCATCATCAGGGATGATGAATTGTGCGTTGAATTTCTCTGCTGCTGCTTCTCTGCGATAATTACTCGTTGACTGGCTCGGGATCGTCTTCTGGGGGATGTTCTGCTGGTGGAGGATCTGTCGGTAAAAGACAGAGCTTGGTGATGGGTCTGATAAATGTCATGCTGGTACTGGTGATTCTGTCGAGGTTGGGGGTACCGTCTGGTCGAGTTGGTACTACCGCTCGTGATGTTTTGATGGTTGCAACTCTTGCGAGGCCATCTTCTCCTGGGTGAACTGCCACTGCTCTACCGAGTGGCCATTTTGCTGGTAGATAATCCTCGTCGACCATCAGGACCATCTCTCCAACTTTGATGTTCTCTCGTCGTTGATTCCACTTGTAGATAGCTTGGTATCTTTGAAGACACTCTCTGGACCACCTGGACCAGAACTGCTGTATTTTTTGGGTGATCAGATTCCATCTCTGCAGCTTGCTGGGGTTCTCATTGATGATTGATGGCTCTGGAATCACCTGTAGAGGCTCACCGATTAGGAAGTGACCTGGGGTGAGTGCTTGGAGGTCTTCTGGGTCATCTGACATGGGTGTGATTGGCCTGGCGTTCAGGCAGGCCTTTATCTGGATCAGAATGCTATTGAGTTCCTCGTAGGTGAATGTCGTCGACCCAAGTACTCTTTTAAGATGATATTTCGTTGATTTGACCGCTGCCTCCCATTTGCCACCGAAATAGGGAGCTGTCGGTGGTGAAAAGCTCCATTGAGTCCCGTTGGTGGCGAGAGCAGCCTGGATCTGTTGATTCTCTCTGGTTGGCTGGTTGTACAGCTTGTTGAGGACTGTTGAGGCGCCAACGAACGTGGTTGCGTTGTCACTGTACATAACCTCGGGGATGCCTCTCCGTCCGGTGAATCTCTTGTAGGCTCCGATGAATGCGTCTGTTGTCTGCCTGGAAACGAGCTCTAAATGGACTGCTGATGTACTGAAACACACAAATACTGCAATATGAACGCTAGTTGGTTGGGCATTTGTGGGTCGCCATTTGAGAATGGGGAATGGGCCGGCATAGTCCACCCCCGTATGGAGAAATGCTCGTGAAGGTGATATTCTCACTGCAGGCAGTTGGCCCATTAGTTGCTGGGCCTGTCGTCCACGATGTCGGATGCAGGCAGGGCAGCGTGAGATATATGCTCTCACAGTGCATCTGCCGCCGATGATCCAATACTTCTGGCGTGTGTGGGCTAGAGTGAGTTGAGTTCCTCCATGGAGTGTCCTTTACGTGAGCTTCTTCGATGACCAACATTGTTAAGCGAGACTGACGAGGCAGGATAATTGGGTGAATCTCCTCAGGGTCTAGTTGAGAATCCTTAAGGCGGCCACCTAGCCTGATGATGCTCTCATTGTCTAGAATTGGAGTCAGCTTTGCTAGTGGATGACTCCGTGGTATTTGATGGTCTCTCTCAAGTAGCCTGTGAACAGATGCAAAATATTGATATTGCGTAATTTTTACCCAAAACAGTCTGGCTTCGTTGAGTTCTCTAGAGGTTAAGACCGGTGTTTGAGGGACTGGCTGTCTTCTGAACCTGTCGATGGCTCGGTTCACGGTGGCTGTTACTTGGAGGACCTTGGCTAGTGTTGAGTATCTGTTGAGGAGCTCTGCTACGGCGTTGATCTTGATAGATGTCTGATGTGATGAAGTTGGCCTTGCTTCTGTTGATGCTTCGGCTGGAGAGTCAAGTGGTGATACTGGCCAGTTTTCAGGTTCCTAATTTATCCACTCAGGGCCTGACCACCATAGCTGATGTTCTGCTAGCTCCTGTGGTGATAGTCCTCTGGATGCACAGTCGGCTGGATTTTCCTTACCGCTGATGTGCCTCCAGGTAGCGTCTGGAAGGGATTCCTGGATCTTGGTGACTCGGTTTTGGACAAAATCCTTCCATCCAGTGGTGCCTGTATTCTGCTTGAAAAATTACTCGGGAGAGAACTGTTATACCTAGCATGCCGTCATCATATTTTTGAACTTCTTCTGAAAATTGCATTCGAAACATCAATGGGGAGTACGTCTGGGCCTGAAGTTTCGATATTCAAACGCTTTCAAGGGGACTGGAAAAACATTGAGAAGGCAAAATTTTCACCGGGAGTGCACGATGCCAAAGTCAAAGAGGTACTGCATTGTCATACGCTGAATGCCCTTGGATTTGCTGAAGAACACTTAACGGTCAGTGGCAACACATTACCCACACGGGAATAATTCACACTCACTTTTTCTCCTTCTATCACACTAACATTCAGTAACATCAAGTTTAATTATATCTATTTTTCCAATTCACAGAATAAAAATATCCGTAACGACTACAGGGAGTTGTTGGAATTGATCGTTATGTTTCTCGAAGGGAATCTGATGAAAGGGAACCGTTTTCGAGCTCTTGGGCCCATGCATCATGCTAGATGGATGTCCAAAGCGATTTATTCGCTCAAGATCTTCTTGTTCCGGGATCAATTTCATCTGACAGCCCAAGAAACATCTGGTCTACGAGATGTTTGTATTTTCATAGTTTTGTTATATCAGAGAGCGTGGTTCACGTGTTCAAATCCAGTCACAGCCCCAAACAATGATTGGATTCTGCTGAAGGATTTATCAACAAATGCTGGGATTGGTGGCTGCATTTCCCCAAAAATTCAGAAAGCAGTATTCGAGAAATTTAGTAATCACCTTTGATACTTGTCGGAGAAATTGATTGCTTTGGCTTTTTTCGACGATCATGTGAGTAACGACGTTAAGAGAAAAATGTATTAGGCCATCAAATCTCGTTCTCCTCTCAATGATGGTAGGGAGCCCAGGAAAATAGGAATCAAGGATCAGAAAAAGATTCACGAGTTGAGTTTAGATTCATTTGTAACTCAAAATACGATGAAATTTTTCGAGATTCTGAAAATCGATTCTAGTTTCCTGGATAGTGATCCATCCACATGGGACGAGAGAGATGATTTCACCACACCGTTGAAAGTTGTCCGTTCTCTGCATGTTACAAATGACATAGCTGAGAGAAGTGTTGCTCTCATGAGTGAGTATAATGATTTACTCACGAAAGATGAGAGCAGCAAACAACATGCAATGTCAGTTGTCAAAAAACTGCGAGAATTATCGTCGAAATGTACGAAAGAAAGCATGGCACTATCATTGGAAAGTTTTTTAAATAATGAACCAACGGAATATAGATAAGAAAATTTGCACCAAATTACTAAACAAATATACCTACATTTCAATATACCCTATTCATGAATTATTGTACCTGATAATTCAAAAGAGAAAATTTCCTCTTCAGAACAGAAAAAAAATATCTTGGATATCTTCACCTAATATTTAATTAAAAAGCTCAACTTGGAGGCATTTTTCTTGCGTTGAATATGCAAAATTTTGTTTAGATACTTGATGAGATGGTTCAATTATTTTCTTATTAATCGGGAAATTTGTCACTACTCGATCTAATATGTTACAACTTCAAAAGGGTTATGTTGTCAGTTACTTGAATTTTGTACGCAAAGCGGCTCATTCAATGTTTTTAATTAAATCATGAATTGATTCTTTCTTCATAAAAATGATGATCTGTAGAATTCATCACACATTGAACACCGGCCATAACAAATGAATTATCAATTATTATATTATTCAAACTAATCCACAATTCATCGCGAAAGGACGCCCACGAATAATACTAATTCTCCAATACCTGTAGTCGTGATAATATGGAAATTGTCAACGCGAAGTTGACAACACAGGTTTTCAAATCAAGCAATCGTATTGTGAGAGTCAATACCAGGATAATCATCTCTACAATAATTAGTGTTGACCTAGCAATATGCATCGTTCGATCAACAAAGAGACCTCAACGATACGCAATATTAATGCGATTATTATCCTATTTTCTCTCAGTGTGCTGAATTCATCAAAAAACTACTCATCTTCCGGGTAGAATAAATTATTAACGATGATATGAATGATCAAAATTGTTGCCATATATCATTGGTCGTGTTTTGGAGTTCATTGTCGATTCTTTTTAAATGTTTCCCGTTGATTTATACTAATAATTCCTTTGTGGGGAATCCCTCACAGGGAATTGCTCTGAAAAATTAGGAGCTTAGAATTTTTGTCTTAGGATAAGGTCAATAAGCTGTAATTTAGCACTATGCAATATATGGGACTCATATGACTACCTCTTTTATTATTATTTGAACAATTCCAAAATTCTGTGCAAACTTTAATAAATTAAAAATTTACATCGTTTCAATTGAATTTTTACTTCTAGTTGATATTTCCTGAAAATCCCAGTGAATCAACTTCGGTCCAAATTAAGCTATTTCAATGAATGAAGCTTGCTTAGAATCGCTATGCAATGAGGAATCTAAATATATAGATTTAATGTGAAAATTCATAAAAATGAAAAAAAAAATCCTACGAAGAACAAAAGGGTCTGCTGTGATTTATTGAGGACAATAACAGACTGGGTCCGTTCGAGAAAAGGTCTGGCCGGTCGGTCAGCCTTCTCCGTTCCAGTATATGGGCCTCATAAGCACACCACATAATCTGAGCACCTGACGATACCTCGAAATTGGAAAATTTTGTTTTGCATTTTTCATTGCTTCAAAATGGAGCAAAATATTCTATTTTTTGCAATAAGATACGCAGATAGTTGGAAAATCATTCAACGAAATCCCACAGGAATCAGTCAACTTTGAACAGCCGTACGGGGTCTCCGAAAACCCCTATATTCAGCGTAATTCATGCTATTTTATTCAATTATAAATGAGTTGGAAAATTCAAAAGAATATTATTTTCATTCTTCGATGCACTGCGAAGAGTTTTGTGGTAATTGAAAATAACTATGGGAACAATTTTCCGACATAATGATGTTTTTAAACTCTATCACCTCTTTCACATGCATATCATCATAAGAAACTTCTAAAGATCTGCGGGACTTCACAAAACGTTTTTAAAAATCGGAAAAAATTCTCATCTGTCTCTTTTTTGATGAACTATCAGATGCAGATTTAGGAAAAGCGAAATTCAAAAATCTTGATAAAATGAGAAATCCTAGTGCATATGAAGTTCCATAAAATTATTCATGCTCATTAGAAATAGAGCTTTCATTCCAAGGAGAATTCTTAAAAATTCTAAAAACAAAAAACGAAAAACGAAGCCCATGAAATCAGTGATTCTACTCACGAACAGGCAACGCTTACATGGTAAAGAGAGTGCTAATTGATTAGATGTAGTCTGAGAAACACTTGGATTAAAAACAAAGAAATTCAAAAAGAAACTCTAGTTGGTGTTTTTTTTTTTGGAAATGATGAAATTATCCATTGGCTATTTGAAAAGTCCTATGGGATTTTAGTTGCGAAGAAAAAACTATAAATGGATGAAAGAAATTTCTGGAAAAATCCAGTTCAGTTCAACTGGGTAGACGAAAAATACGTCGATTTTTAGTTCTTCAATTATAATGACTTATTTCATAAAGTGATAGGCATACAATAAGCCAACGAGTCAGGGCATTAACAGCAGCCCCTTATAAGGCAATAGTAGAGAATAGTACTGAATATCTTATAGATCCACAGGAGAACAACCATTGAACAAAATAGGGGGTCCAGATAATTGGATAGATACCCAGCTTACATTTCAACATTGAGTATCACTTGCAGAGATGGTCTGTATGATACGACCATGAGTCCAGATGTTTTGACATCTTTTATCATTTTTCAAAATTATCAATAATATTATTATGACGATTTTTATGTTTCGTGAATTATGGAGGATTTTCAATCGGAAATAAAAGCATCTACTTGTTAAGGATGTTCGACACCCTTTTAGCCAAAATTGACGTTGTTTTCATTTTTCTGGCAAATTATCGATGGGAGTGACGTGAAAAAATATAACGATTTTGTGGTTTGTCATTCTTCAATGGCTCACGAAGTTGCGTAGTGGTGCGATAATTTTCATGCGTTTTTTCTACAGTTTTGTGATTCTTTTTAAAAGTTTATAGAAAACGCAGGAAAATGTTCGCACCACCTTAAAATTTCGTCAGTCATTAAATAATGACAAAACGCAAAAACGTTATATTTTTTCACGTCGATTC